GAGAAGAAGGAGACAGAGAGAACCTGGTTCCAACTATAAAAAAAAAGTTGGGCCATCAAAATGCTCAGCAGTGGCAAAACAAAGGTGCATCTGTCTCTGGTTTTTAGTTTTGACAGGTACACCTTGGTATGTGAGGGGAGAAAAGTACATGAAATGAGTAAAAGCTGTAGAGTGCTCCCTCTGTGAGCTGCCAGTAAACAGAATTACAGGAATGCTGTGTCAGAGACCAAGCCAGCTGGACACACACTATCTCCTCGTGTCCCTGCACCAGCTTCCTCATTCTTTCATTTATCAGAGCTCTTTTATTCAGTCCTCTTTTGAATGTCTTGTTACCAAAGTTTAGGTTTGTTCTTTGGGGGTGCTTTTTGTTTTATTTTATTAAAGGAGGTTTGAGAGTTTGTTTGTTCTAATAAGCTGGAGCTGTAATTGGGAAATGAGTTAAGCTTGTTTCCAATTAAGAAATTTGACATGAAATAATTGCATTCTGAGAGAGAGAGAGAAATAAGTTCCCCAGCTGAGCTGTAGAAGAGCTCAGCTTTGTCTAACAATGAAGGTAGAAGCAGATGTTTAGAAAAACATGTAAAAGCAATAGGAGGGGATTTATACATTTGGTTATTAATTAAGATGTATGCATCTTAAGTTTGTTTCTCTTGTGCTTAAATAAAGCATACATGATAAGGTCCTATCAGGCCATTAGTATGTCCACAGCTGGTAAAAATATACATGGTTTTGTTCACTCTCTGGTTTGCCAAGGTTAAAAAACGTGTAATGAGTAGTAGAGTGATTAGAAATAGTGAGTGACTGAGGACTTCTGACAATACTAATGTTTGCTTTTTAGTATGTGGGGAATAGGGGAAGTGGAATCAGCCTTTCTGATTGGAGCGGCAGATGTGCTTGAGGATCTGATGTGGGGACAGGCAGCTGCTGAGAAACTGTTAGTTGTTGCAGTCAGTTTGGAGAAAAGAAAGAGCAGAGGGTGGGTATTTGCTAGATAACTGTCTGTGCTATAATTAGGCAAAGATGTACTAGTGTGAGTAAGAAAGAATAAAGGCTTCAAAGACTTTGGATAAGAATATGTACTTTTTAAAAAAAAAAAATCTGTGCCTTATCCATCAAACTCAAATTTCATTTACAGCATCAAAAGTAACATTATCTGAGATTAAAATTGGAAGAACCAACACTGAACTGACTTGGCTGCTCACATAAGTGATCATTCCTGCAATTTTTATGGAAGTATTAAAGTATTAGTTAAATGGTTTCTCTTTTCTTTGTTCCCTTGTTTGAGCTGTCCTCGAAATTCATAGAATCATTTGGACTGGAAGGGACCTTGAAGGTCATCTAATTCCAATGTCCCTGCCATGGTTAGGGATACCTTCCACTGGACCAGGTTGCTCAGGGCCCATCCTACGTGCCCTTGAACACTTCCAGAACATCTCTGCATCCACAACTCTATAACTTCTCTGGGCAACCTGTTCCAGTGCCTCGCTATCCTCACAGTAAAGAATTTCTTTCTAATGCCCAATATAAACCAACTCTTTTTCAGTTTGACGCCATTCCCCCTTGCTCTGTCACATGCCCCTATAAAAAGTCCCTCTTCATCTTTCTTTTCGGCTCCCTTCAGGGAGGCCGCAATTGGGTCATGCCAAAGCCTTCTCTTCTCCAGGCTGAACAAGCTCAACTCTTTCAGCCTTTCCTCACAGGAGAGGAGCTCCATCCCTCTAATAATCTTGGCGTCCCTTCTCTGAACTCACTCCAACAAGCCACTGCCCCTCCTGTGCTGGAGACCCCAGAACTGAATGCAGTACTCCAGGTGGGGTCTCACAAGAGAGGAGCAGAGGGGTGGACAAATTCAATATGAACTTTAAAAAAGTAACAGACTTTTGGCTTTAATGGCTTCTCTACCTGACTTGTCTCTGTGGTTATTTTGATAGTATTAATGAAAGATTAATATTGGTAGGGGTTGTGATTGGTGTGTTGCTTTTTATGAGGAGGCGTTATTTTACGCAGGTAAACCTGGTAAATTAATGTCTGAGAGTCAAAAACATTTTCTGGCTGAAATGCTACCCCTTAGTTGACTTTTGTGGTGGGTTCATCTTGACTGAATGCCAGGTGCCCACCCAGCCGCTCTATCCCTCCCCTTCCCAGCTGGACAGAGGAGAGAGTAAGGTGGGAAAAGAAAACAAACACAAATCGTGGGTTGCGATAAGGCAGTTTATATTTATGCAAAAAAGAAAGCAAAAGCAGCGTGCGCGCGCACAAAGCAGGAGCCAGCAGTTAATCTCTGCTTCCCATAAGCAGCGATGGTCGGGCACTTCTCTGAGAAGCAGGGCTCCAGCACGCGTGCCGGTTGTCAGCGGGCAGCCATCAGAGACAATGAGTGCCTGCGGTCCTGCTCCTTGCCTCAGCTTTTATATCTGGGTTGACATTATATGGTATGGAATACCCCCTTGGTCAGTGTGGGTCAGCTGGCCTACTTGGGTCCCCTCCCACGATCTCGCCCTCGATTGAAGAAGGGATGTTACAGTGCGGTGCTCAGCAGTAGCCAAAACACGGGTGTGTTATCAACACTCCTCTAGCTACCAATACAGAGCATGGCACTGTGAGGGCTACTATGGGGAAATAAATTCTGGCTCAGCCAGACCCACCACACTTTTCTTTGTGGTTAAAGTGCTCTTTGATATAGTAAATCAAATAAGAAGTAATATGACAGATTCCTCTTTCACGTAAATAAAAGTGGTTCTGCTCTTGGAGCCTCAGTACACATGGAAGGTTACAGAGTCTGGACCACCTTTCAGCAAGTGGACAACCAGGATTTCTTCTGCTGTTGCTACTGTTTTCATTTAGAAGATGGAAAGCTCAAGCTGATGTTTTGTGAAATCTTGTAGGGCTGCTTTGATGCGTGAAGTAACAGAGCTGAGAGATGGGGTAACTGGAGCCTCCCTGTGCTTGCATCTGCAAGCTTGTGTGTGTCTGTGTGTCCTTACTGGAGGGTGTGGAGGGTAAGTAGATACATCCTCCACGTACAGGGTGGTGCTTGTTTCTGTGATTTGGTGTTCAGATAATGAGATCATTAAAAAGAAACACTTTTAATTACTATTTAGACTTATGTATTTACAGCCTTGTGATCTACTAGAACTTTTAAAAGCTGGGGTTTTTGGCTATTCATACAGAGGTTTTCCTCTGGAGGTTCACCAAAGATCGCAGGTGGCTGTTTGGGCTCATTTCTCATTGGTTACAAAAGTTACTCAGTTGTGTCATAAACCACATACAGGTTTCAGTGTTAAACTGTTTGCTTTTTGTAGTTCATTCTAATGCTTTTGATGAAGTTTCACTTTGCTGTGACCTTTCCCACTCTTTTCTTTGTCCTTGTCCTTTAATTATGATGGAATTTCTGGAGATAGAGACAGGTCTTTTATTAAGGAAGTGTTAAAATGAAGAATTTCCTCTTGAGGTTGCCCTCCTTATGTAAAAGGATGTTGCAAATGACATTTGGACTTTCCGTAAGTGAACTGAGACTTTTAATCTTTTTTGAACCTCATACGATGAAAGACAAATAACTGAACACTGCTATTATAAATTATGTGAACTTCTTAAGCTTCAAGAAAGGCATTCTACATGCTTTACCCTGACAAAGCTTCTGCTGCCTTCCTGGGAAACCTCGGCTAGTCAAAATTTGGCTTACGATCATAGACTAATCCTGTTCATAGTAAGCATCACTAAATGATGCCTTCTGAAATTATATCACTCTTGGGAGGCCTCACTGATCACAGAATAGTGATCCTACTGCTCTTATAGCATGCTGCAAGCCAGACACTTACGAATGGCATTTCAAAGACTGAGTTAATTTAACCCTTTTTCTTAAAGCGATCAGAGAATCTTTTCAAAGGCTTATCTTGTTGATAGTGTTGTAAATACATAACATAGATTAAGAGAATTAGGAAAAAAAAACAAGTTAGAAAAAACAATTTATTAAGTAGTATCATATAAATAACTCGTTACAAAAATCAATTTGCAAAAAGGCAAATTCACTCTGTCTGTGAGAAATTGTTGTTCAAATTGGTTTCTCATCAAATCTTTAAATTTCATTTCCCCTGCCCCCCAACCCCCCAAAAGAAGCCAGTACAATGAACAGGAAATGTAAGAGAGTGAGTGCACACTTTCAATCTGACCATAACAAATTGCCCATTCACACTGCAGAAGAGAGAATCATTCCAGCATGGGTCAATTTGCAAAACAGGGAAGTTTCCAAGTGTAAAACTCTTGTGTGACAAAAATATTATTGCCCACAAGTCCCTCTCTGCTGAGCATTGACCAGATCCATCCAATGCTGAGGCTCCCTTGGCACAACTAGGGGATGACATCATGAGAGACTATGTGGCTGGAGCATGCCAGCAAGTAAATCTTCCCAGGTGAAGGCATCGGTTTCAATTTATGCTTGGAAGTATTTTTAATTAAAAAAAATCAATACCAAAAAGCATTTATTTTAAAGGGTTTAAAAAAATCACAAATCTCAATAGGAGTTTGCCAGATTGATTTTGCTCAGTAACACAGTTAAGATGCACGTAGCATTTATTATAAGGCCTTTCTTTTAATTTTTCAAAGCAATGAAAGTAATCACAGAATTAAAACAGTACAGTGATTCTAAAGTTTTTTATGTGTCAAAATCCAGAACAATTTCATGTTTGCCGTGTTCTTTGTTGTGTTGACCTGAATGCTTAATAATTCTATACATTTGTATCTTTAATAAACACTAAAGTGGTAGATCATAGAAAACTAAAAGCTTATAGAAAGAGTCTCCAAGTATATTTACATAAATAGTGCAGTCTTATAGGAAAGGTCAAAAGCCCATGGGAGTGGAAAGGATTTCTCTATATGTTGGACTTATGCCTTATTTATCAAATCGACTTTGTGGAAGGAGAAATTTAAAGATAGCAGCTCTTTTTTTTTTTTTTTAGTTTTTTTTTTGTTTGTGGTTTTTTTTTGGGTTTTTTTGGGTTTTTTTCTTCCTTTTTTTTTTTTTTTTTTAGTTTATTTTTAAAGACAGCAAAAGATGCATGCAGAAAAAAAGTCCACAAGGGCAGGTTCTGTAAAAAACTCCTTTGAAATCCAGTAAATCTATGCATGATAGCTTTGTGGCTTTTAAGCGTCATGGGCCTGCATTGCATATGACTAATTACCTCCCCCCGCCCTCCCATGCAATTCACTTTCTGTTCTTCTTCCTGAAACTCTCAATTCTCTGACACTTGTGCTCCCTGTAACCCCAACCATAGCTTTTGGATACCTACCACTGAACTTTATGAACTGTTCAGGAAAGCGTTTAAGTATATGACGAACACAGTTTTGGGCTCAAAAGTGTAATATTACAAACTGATGGGCAGAATCAAGATTGTTTCAGCTGGCTTAAATAAACTACTGAGGGGAGAGACTGGTATTAAAGCATTGTGTTGGCTGTTGTGGTTTTTGCTTTCTTTCTGGATCAATGCATGAGTCTGTAGACATTAAATATGCTTTTGTTCCCCTTAAAGTACAGAAGGAATCTCTAAGAAAAGAAGTCTTTCTGAAGACTAAACTGAAAATAAAAAAAAAAACATTGTGGCTTTGACATTTATTGGAGGAGGCTGCTGTTTCACAGGTCTAAAGGGGTTGGAAAAAACCTGCCTTTCACAGCTTATGTCATAGTTCATATTCATTGGAAGTAGTGTAATGACTGTTAATTTGTCAACTCTCATTTGACAAGGGATCTCAGACTGCAGAGTTAATTGAAATGCAAATAGGCAGGGGATGGTAGCATCCAATTGGGACAGTGGTTCTTCTGAAAAATTTTAATACTACTTATAGTCAAAGGAAACATGGAGAGAATTCTAAGAGATGGTGGCAAGTAGAGCTAACACAGTGGCGCTTGCAGAAAGTTACTGCTTAGAACCACTGTCAGTAATTCACCCTGCATCAAGATAGTTCTGCTGCAGAAATTTAACACGTTTCTTTCTTTCCTAGAGATCTGCATAGAAATGGCTTGGATTTAATTTGCTTGGTCTGAAAAAGATGATGTCTTTCTTCCTACCTCTGCAAATCTCCCTCTGGCTGCAGTAGGAAACCTGAAAGTGTTAGAAGTCACTGTGTGGTGTTGGTTCTGCTCAACATGGATAATTCTGGTTCTGAAACATGGGCAGCTTCCAGTGTTCATTATTTCCCTTCGTTTTAATCATACTGTACATGTGTAGATACGTATTTCTAAAGCCATTTCTTTCTGCTCTACTTCTTTATGACTGTTCTTTTTTTTTATGGTAATGCAGATGTTCAGTTACTTGGTTTTGTGGGATTTTTGTGATGTCATATGTCCTGCTACTTCCAAAAGTGGATTATTTGAAGGTTGCCTCTCCCATTCACATTTAACAGATAAGAAATACCTGTCCATAGAATGAATTAAGACCAGAAAAATATATCTTTTTCTTAGGAAAAATTTAGCAAATATTGGTGTTGGTACAGGTGAAGTGTTCTTTTTCTACTAGGTACCTTACCTAGCAATTTTTTTACCAGAAATAACTCAAAAATAGAGACAACTTTTTTTTCTCACGGTTAGACACAACTCCATCTACGTTTGCCTCATCTTTCTTCCATGCACTTGTCTACACAGAAAGATGTCCTGGCACAATGTATTGGAGGCATGGGCTGCTGTGTCTCCCCATACCAGTGCTGCTGTGGGATATAATTGCGTTTAACCTGAAATAATCAAACAAACACAAAACAGAAACACCACTTCCCCCCATTTTTCTGAGATAAAGTGACTCTTTTGGGATTTGGGATGAAATAGCTACAGTAGAAACCTTATTCCAAGTGCAGAGATTCTACTGTTCTGCACTAGCACAGCTGGAATAGTCTCCCAGGTCCCTGTTTCATCCTGACTCCACTGAATTCCTTGGCATCTTTTAATAGGTCTCCTGCTGTTAGGTCAGATGCTTTTCCAAATTAAAGGCAACTGCATTGCTATCTCTCTACCTGGCTTAGCTAAACTTCCTAATAATATTACTTCTTCTTAAATAGGTTCGGTTGTAAGAAGAGCAGGCTTAAAACAGCCTTGAAACCCACTTCATAGCCCATAGTCCAACACTTGTTTATCTGTAAATGACAACTGTAGCACTGTGTGAAAGCATTGTTAAATACTCATTTCTATCATCTAGCACGCTGCCATGCAATATAGTGCAAAGAAATTCTACTGCAAAGTTTTGTATTCACTGCAATATGGCACTTTCAATATTTAATATGCAATACTGATTTTATAAATTGCACTTTGTGGTACTGCCAAGCAAGAAGAAAAGGAAGAACTGAACTCTTCTTGCTGTGTAAGAGATGCTAAATTTGTGTAATTTGCAGGAAAAAACCAGACCTTAAAACCTAAATGCATAAATAATAATGTGGATGCAAGTTTGCCTCAAATTTTCTTAGACGAATGCATTTGCTATTCAGGCACCATATTTGTGGTGACATAACATAATTTTATATATATAATATATTTACATAACAGGCATGAGTAGCCACTCTCTATTATTTACCGTGTCACTCAATGGACAAGAAATAACCAGCTTTGAATTAAAAGGAAAGAAATCAAACCAATCCAAAACTCGAGCTTGGACTGCTACTAACAATCACTAAATCAGACAAAAGCACTGTACAAACATCGGAAAGTAGTTACAAGTTATCCTTCTGTCTTGTTATCCCATTCCTAGAAGTGACTAATGCAGGCTGACCCGCAGAGTGGCCCAGCTCCTTCAGGGCACAGGGTCTGTCTTCAGTAAAGAGCCAGTGATTCCCTCTTCCCAGTGAGCTGGGGGTGGCTCACAGGGCCAAATACCTGTACAGTTTCACAGCCACCTCTGTGATCCCTTCCACACACAATCTGTTTCCTCAGGGCTGAAGGAGAGGAAAGGACATTTCACTGGCTCGCTTTGGGCATCCAGTGAGCTCCATCTGAGCTTGAGGTTATTTGCTGGAGGCAACCCCACAGTGAAGGGTGAGAGAGGCGTACGTTTAGGAGTCCCTGGAGGGATAGGCTGGCCCCCCTGATTGTATGAGGGGAGCAGCCAGAAGTGAGGGACCTGTGGCAGGTGGTGCTGAGCATCTGCTGCTCCTCCGCATATCTGAAATCCAGATGGTCTCTCCTGTCTGTCAGAGCCAGCTTTTGGACATATTGCTTCCTAGAAGCTCTGATTTCATGGAAGCCATGAAAGGCTAGGCTTTCAAAGGCCTTTATCATCTTAAATTACTTAGGGGCCCTCAGGAGGACATAATAAGGGTCTAGCTGTGCCATTACCATCATGATGGGTGCAATGGGCTCAGGCTCTCTAAGCAATGGAGTTGGGAACTGATGGACTTAAAACATTGTGAGAGGCCTGCCTCAGGGAGGCTGGGGGCTCAGGACCCTTGGAAAATCTGGGCTCTTCAGCTCTGTAAACCCATCCAATCTATCATGTTGGGCATCTGCAAGCCATTAGCTAGTCTGCCCTACACTCATAGGTGTGCAGTTCTCCCCACTGCAAAGGAGTCCCTTCTTGCCCCAGCCAGGCATTGCAGCATGGCTGGCTCATTCTCTTCCATGTGAGCCGGCTTGCAAAACCTGAAGTTACATTGTTGTGGTTGTAAAAGTCTAATACTTGGGACTCTTACTGCTCTCTTTAACTCACTAGGAGTAATGAATCCCAGAGATGAATTTTTAATCCCTCTTTATTTTCTGTTTATTAACTTTTTTTCTCATTTCTCTTTATTTTTGGAGTAAATTGGAGCTGTTTAGTTTTCAGACTGATTCACTTAAGGAGGGAGAATAGATCCATTCCTGTAATTCTGGTATTAAATACTCTTTCAAAATGAAACAAATGAGAACAGTTATCTATGAGGTATATTAAAAAAAATTAATTCCTTCTTTCCTTGACACAGAGCCATGGGCTGGTTCCCTACTTTGGGACACAGGGTCACTTTTAGCTCCTGGAAACTGGATATGCTCCATGGCAGCCCCTCAGGATTTTCTCCAGACAGTCTCTCCTAGATGGCTGAATTTGAAGAGCAAGGTCATTACACATTTAACAAATCAACTGAAATTCTGAGTGGTGAGCAAACTATCATGAAAACAGTTCTGGCCCAAGATTATGGTGTCTCCCCCCACCATGGACAAAAATTAGTTAGCTTGGCAAAGGAGATAAACATACACACAGAGACTTGTTCTAAGGTGGTAGATAAGGCCACGCAAAAAAAGAAAAAAACCCTCCTGATGGATTCCTGGAAAACTCCAGTACTTGGGGAGACATTCCCAGAAACTGATAAAAGGATTAAAATGAAGAAAGGAGTGATACTGTATGGAGATAACATGGTCTTTTTTTGAGCACATCCTGCCTGCTGGGAACTCAGGAAGTGGACCTTTGGGCTTATTTCATCTGTCTATCACCCCAAAATTAGTTTACTGACTATAGCCACTCAAACTGCCTAAAGAAAAAAGGTATAAAAAGAGATTGGATGCAAGCAAAAATCATGGAGAAGTTCCATCAACTCTGCGGAGGTAACCTGTGGGCTACCTCTTCTTCCTCCATCTTCTTTTGCTCCATAGTACTTTAAAATTTTTCCTTGTTACTTTGTTGTAAGTTGCTTTTGCTTTATAGTGTGTACTTAGGTTTTTTGCTTTACTTAGTCTTTTTAAGTTGTCTTACTTATTTGTAAGTTGCTTTTGCTTTAGTGTCTCTGCCTATGCTTTGCATTATTATTATTACTACATAGTTTTAAGTGTGTTTTTTTGCAGTTAGACCCTATTCCAGACACAGTGAACCCCATAAATTGTCACAAATTTGCATTAATAAATGTGTTATTTCATGAACTGTTAGAGTGAGTCCGTTCTTAGATGCTGACAGTTTCGTCAACGGTGAAATAACTGATAGGAGAAATTTGCTGAAGGGATTTTCTACTGCTATTAAGTGCAGTCCCTATATATAAAAGGTATCAAATGTCCTGTCTGTCTCAGCGAATCTGTTAGCAAAGGGTCTCATTAGGTGAGACACTACCAGACTGTTTTGGACATTAAATGGCTTTGGTCTCCTGGAGGGGGACACTGATAGACAACAAATAAATTAATACACGTTGGACAGGAGATTCTTCTTTTTTTGACAGGAAATGGTACCAAGAAAGTGAGGTGTTATGAATATTCTTCTGCAAAAATGCAGATTTACCTCTTCCCAAGTGGAGAAAGAGTGCACTGAAATGTTTAAAAAAGCTAAAGGAAAAGTTGTGAAATGCATGGACCACCTTAAAACTCTGCTTGTGAACTGCAAAGAGAAACAACTACTAGAAAAACAAACAACCAAATTGGTTGTTGGAGCCAAACAGCCTCAAAAGTCAATAACTCATCCAGATATGGGAATCTGGAAAGGAGATATTTGCTGCAATAAAACCACAGAAAACTGTAATTCTAATGAAAACGAATGTAGTGTTTTGCACAATGATTCCTGCTCTCCAATAGAGGTGGCAAAAATGCAAGAAAATACAGAGAAACTGGAATTACAATTCGAACAACAAAGTGTGTTTTGTGCACAACAAAAATCTAAAACTTTACCTCCTTCTAAACTGATTAGTGATGTTGAATATGTGGTTTTAAAATCAGAAAATCAAGTATTAAAGTTATTGTTAACCTATAAGAGGGGAAACAGGAGAACAACTGAAAATTCCAGTTTCTGAACTTGCTGCTAAAAACAAGTTGTTTAGAACTGAAGCGAACAACCTTAAATTTTCACTTGCTACAGCAGGCTTCGAACAAAACGAGCTGCAGGTAAAGGAGGTGTTATATGCTAAGAAAGAAAAAAAAACTGCCAGCGAAACTGCTTGCTGTTAAACACAATCAAACAAAGCTGTGGAATGTGCATACATTAAAGAAAAAAAATACAAAGTGTTAGACTCACTAAAGTTAGTGTTTGCCAAGCTACTAAAATTCACCTAAATAAACAGTTGTTTGCTGCTAGCCTGGTGATTAAAAACTCTGCATCTGCAGGGTGAAACAGAATTTTCGTAGTTGATACGAAAACCAATTAATATTAACTCTTTATTACAGGCACTTGTGTGCCAATGCATTTCTACTAGATCTGCTGTGCTTAATATCGTGAACTTAACAACTAAAATACACCAAGCCTAATTAGGTATTCATGGGGTGATAACAACTCTCAAAGAAAAAATTTTATCACTCACTCAGGCTTTGTTAATTTTCCTGTCTGTCTGAGAAAAACTGTAAAGAGAAAACTGTGGATTACCTTTTGCTGCAAAAAACGGCATACTAATTTTTTGACTGCTATTAAACTATCAAAATCTGACCTTAAATCAAGAGATATTGAAATCCAGTCAATGCTAAGGCAGTGGGATGCTGAGAAGCTGCATCCACTTTCCAGACAGCATCCAGCCACTGGAGTAAACTGAATGGAACAAGTGTTACCTACGAAACTTATAAAATTAACTCATGGCTCCAGGGTGAGAAGCAGAAGCCTGCAAAAAACCCTAAAAGAAACCCAGCTCAAACAGTGACTCTTGTCGAATCTTTACAAGCAGTCTCACTCCCTCTGATCAAAGATGTGATTCACCCCCAAACTCGGAGACTAAACTGTCAAAACTAAGTGGCAAACACTTCGTGAAGCCAAAGCTGAATTTTTTTTTAATCTTAAACACCTGTTTCTAACCAACATCACTAGTTCAAGAGTGAACCAAGCATATTTCTTTTCTTTCCTTCTGTTTCACAGGAATATGCATAAAAAGAAGAAAGCGTACTTCAGCAAAAACAATGTGATCTTATACTTCCTCTTGTTTTTCTTACCTAGCTGTTTTATTGCAAAGAATTAAACATCAGTGCTTGACTTTTAACCACTGCGTTAAACAACCTGACTCATTAAGTGATAACCTGTAAGAGAAACCCCTTTGGGACTCGTGTTTTTTTCTTTTTTTCTTTTCCTCTTTCTCTAGGAATGCAACACACACACGCACTGACAACTGAGTGAAGAGACTGTCAGCAAATTTCTCTTAAATTCTTTTCACTTTTGTAATATACACAGAAACTAAGTCTACACTCAATGAATTATTCCTTTGGTTGTTTTTTTTTTAATGATTAATTTATAGTAGGCCGAATTTTCTCCTCATCTTTTTATAGGAACAAGCTAAGAGAGAATCAGAACTGCCTGAGACCGATGAAACTTTTAATAATTACTTAGATTATTAGTTTATTAATTCTTGTAATTTGTTTGTGTTTTCATCAAGAACCATTTGTTGGAAGACCAACTATTAACCAAGTTACATAAAACAAACCATTTTATGTATTGTTAGTTTAAATTTTAATAAATTTACTTTGTCTTTTCTTTTCCCTTTACTAAATATGAGAATAGGGTGGAAAAAACTTTTACCTTATGAATATACAACTTTATTTCAATTAAATAAAAAATTTAAAAATTCAACCAATTCAACTTGGAAGTAGATACCAGGATTTACGCATGTCTGAAATTATATAAATATGTATTAACTTTTCCAAGTCTTCCTCAGGAGACCCTGGATTTATTAAAATTATTTAACTAATTTTTTCTGCCTGTCTAAAAGGAAAGACAACTATAGAATGCAAACAAGACCGGCAAATAAAATAAAATAATAATAAAAAAAACCTATAACCATTTTTTAAGAAATACTTATATTCTCCTAAGTACTTTTTACTTTACCTTACTTCTCTTATCTATGCTAATCAATCATTGTTAAAAGATCGTGATAAGAGCAATTCACCCACTGAAGAAAAAAAAAGGGGAAAAACAATTTTACTTTAACACAACCTATGCTTTCATCTTGTTTATACAGAAACAAGGTATAAAGTTATCATTTAATTTTATAAAATTTATGTGTGATGGGGTGATCATAAATAAAAAATGTGTACTTCTAAGTATACTTCTGCTTAAACTAGTTTCTGTAAACAGAAATGGACCATCACAAAGAAGAATGGAAATCAACACTTTCTATCTCTAAAAGGAATTAACAAAAACATCATCTCAATAGGATACTAAATTAAAAATAATGCTCTAAATGCACGACAACAATCTTACGCCTTCTTGTAAACTATACTAAAAAAAGAAAAAATAGATGTGCCTACTTTTTTAAGCAAGAATACTAACATAACTTTAAAATATACCTTTAAACAGACCCCAACTCTCAAGTGAGCTTGGGTCTTCAATTCTCAAATGACTCAAGCTGTTGATACAAAATAGTATTTCCACAATTACACTATCCCTGACAACCTTATATGTGGAATGCAGTTAATATCCTGAGAACAGGACTGAAAGTTCTAATAATGTGAGCTCTCAAATATTAATACATTAATAAACTGGTTATGATTACCACTGACCTAAGTAAATCAAAACAACCATCTAAACTTTTCCCTTTTAACTTTGGGAACTAATCAATGGCCTTTAACAAATCTGTTATCACTAGAGGGAATTGATTAAAAAAAAAAAGAAAAAAAAGATCATCAGTCAATCACAGATGCATTTAGCATCATCCAAACCAATGTCTCTTTGACTCTAAGACATAGCCAGACACACTGATGGATACAATCAATAACAACTACTATCATAAAAGAAAGGTGAAGGAAAAACACCTTACCTATTAAAATTCAAAACACGATTTGGAATAATACAATTAATTTAAAAAAATATATATATTAAAAAAAAATAAATCCTGGTGGTATCTAGTCAATTTTACCTATGATCCCACCAGCAATACAATTACAGCTTTTCTGCTGACAGTACCTTAAAACTAAATTACCACAGAACTATGCTCTACCACCTAGAGCATAGAATACGAATACGAAAATACGAAAATTCTTCTTTTCTGCCCCTTTTAATGTGACACTTGTGATTTAAATTTTACCTTTTGGTGAAGTCTTTAACAAACTTGTGTAGTTTACTTTAAAAAACAAGTTATAGTTATAAACCCTACTTTTTCAGGCCACTGGAATGACAATTAATTCTCACTTATTTGTGCATTCAGGGCTAGAATCTGGAAGAAAAAAAAAAAAGAAAACAACCCAAAACCATGACAATTTACTTCCTCCAGCAGAATGCCATTTTCCATTTCTAAAGCATTTTCCAAATGACTTACATAGTTCTTGCAACATCCTGATGAGGTAGGCATTACTTCCCCATTTTACAGATAGCAAAACTGGGCAGAGAGTCAAGTCAGGAATCCACCCTGGACATCCAGGTAGAGAAGGTGAGGACAAAAAAAGAACTGTTTCCTCCTCTGCAATTGCTCTGTTTGCTCCAGTGGGTGCCAGTCACCTTGAGGCCACTCCTCCCCACCTGCACATGAGAACAGGCAGAAGTAGCTGGATATGAACATCCTGACTCCCACCTCCCCAGTGCAGTGGCCATCACTGAACTGATGTGCAGGTGGAGGCTGACTGAAGAAGTGCAAACAAAAGCACAGTTATGATCTGTTCCTTTGTCCAAGTCATGACCTAATCTGTGGTTGGATTTGATGACTTTCCATGTATCGCAAAGCAGGTAGGGGTTAGAACTGGGAAATCATCTAAGAATTAGATACTGAGGCTACTGACCACACACACGTGCACGCACACACATCTCTCCAGCAATGCTAGGTCAGAAGAATATATACAGAGAAGTCAATGAACTATATATATATGTGTGTGTTAGTATGATTCAGTGCATTGGGGGCAATGGCAAGTTCTAGAGAAACACTTAGGTTTAAATGACCATTAAGCCTTTCTACCATCTCCATGAGTAAAATGCATGTTTGATGTTTTTTCTTGGCTTACTCTTACTTGTATAATAAACCTTCGTTCCATCACCACTACTTTTAACTATAATACATAGGGTAAACTAGGGTACCTCATTACAATGGGATGTGCAATACACAATCGACAGAGCAATTGTCTGAGCTGAATAGTCTGAATACAAGTAAGAAGAGCAAGTGAGCTTAAACAGTAATATATCCCAATTTACAATATAAGCAGAACAAGTAAAAATATTGCTCCCCATCTGATCCTTTCTTTCCCCTTCACTACTGCTGTGCCTGTAAGACTAGCCTGGTAAACTGGATGCACCAAAAAATAAGGATTTTGCCTCTTGGAAGCTCAAAAAATGATACTAGAGAAAGTTTTCTGATGGCTAACCCACACAGACTGCTGTCATTAGACAATTCAAATGGGTAGAAAAAGAACCCTTTTCACACAGCTGTGGAGAAATAGAAAGAAATAGCTACTTCACATATCCCAACGCTGTTTCTGAAAATGAGGACAGGAAATAAAAAGAAAGAAAAAAAAAAGGCAACATATTAAGAGTCTTTGTCACTGTCCATTGAACCATACATATCTGCCAGCTTTTTAAACCGAGGTCCCCAGTCACTGAGGTAATCGTAGTCCTGATCTCCGTCTGTAGTCACCGACTCCAAGGAGCTGAGGGACTCGGCCACAGAACCATTACCTTCATATGCGTAGGTTGCTAACGAGTCATATGGGGGGGCTGTTGGATCTGTATCATTTTCCTTTAACCTTTGGTTAATGAAATCTCTGACATCCGTGTTATCCCGCGCTGTTGCAGTTCGCCGTGGTATAAAAAGTGTTTCAGGCACAATGTCTCTGCGCAACTTATTATCATCTATGGCTTCGGGATTTCTCAGTGTGCCAATATCAAACGCCTGGGTGTCTTCCTCTCCACCACCTTCATCGTTATAACTGACAATGTTGTCTCTGATGTCTTCTTTGGAAATAATCAAAGGCTCTTTTTTCCTCTGCCGTCTCAGTGCTGCAAACAGCACCACTGTAACTAGAAACAAAAACAACAGTGAAAGAAGGTTAATCTCCAACTCCATTAAAGCCCAGAAGAAATGTCGTACCTCAGCTCGAATTTGAAGTTTTAGAAAATGTTTTGCAAAACTGAAAATGTGCGTGCCAGGTTTTCAGGCTGTGCTTGCTCTGCCTGTGAGTTCCTTGGGAGATGAAACGGCATGGATGTGCACTAGAAGAAAGGCAATGTCAAGCTTGTAAGAAGCCAAGTGGAGTGGCATTTTGTCAGGAGGCCCTTTGTTACTCAGAGTCATAATAGTAATTTTGATGTCTTGAGAACAGAACTAGTTTCATGATAGTTGGGATGGAAGAAACACTTTCTTCAAAATAAGCAACGTTAGATGTTATTGACCTTGAACCTCTGGGACAATATGTGATTTCTGCTATGGACAAGGCTGGAATCTACTGAGCTTAGCAAGGCTGAATTACAAGATAAGTAAATCTATCCTCCTCTGGAAAAAAAAGTCTGCAATATGGAGTGGATTTTGAGCCAGCATAAAGTCCAAGTTTTATTAACTTCCATGAAATGTTTTTACAATGTACATCACCTTAAAAAAGTACATGGCTTAAATCTTAGACTGATGATATATGACAAAGTTATTTTTTAATCTGCCAAAGGCAGATTTCTGAAACATATTTTATGTCCTTCATTTTAAAGTGTGCGTGTATGCATACATATATTTTCCATTTATTTGGAGGGAAGGAACTCTTTCAATGACCCTGGTCCAAATTTTAATATTTTTGCTCAATAGTGACTCTCAGAACTGTTGGAGAAGTGGACACAGAGGATGGAAAGGAATACGGTAAACACTTTCCTGCTAGGACCTAACTTCAGATTTATCAGCTGGAGCATACATTAAGGCAAATGGCTGAACATTGACAAATGAACAGCAGCAAGGAGCAGGGATGTATTTCTACTGTCAGTGTTGCTTTGGTAGTTTGAGGTCTGCATTTGCCCAGTATTTCACCTCTGCTGTGCAAACTCCAAGGGAAGACACATCTTGCTGTCTTTATAGTTCTTTCACAGCAAAGGAAAGCAGAAATGCCTATACTCATTGATATGAGATGATAAGGTGGATCACAATTATCTTTCATGTCAGCTGTGTTTCTAAAATGTATGTGAGTCAAAGCACAGTAACTGTTAAAGACTTTTTTTTCAGTCCCTTCCTCATTTGTAACCTTTTAAAGGGCAGTGGCAAGGACTCAGGGTGTCCCCAAACCGAAACTAGCCCACTGAAACTTGTCATTCTTAGCTTCCTTCGACAGACAAAAAGCTGGTTTGTTGGGGTTTTTTGGGGGGGATTGGGGTGAGGTGGTGTTTGTTTCATTGGTTTGGGGGGATTTTTGTGGGGGTTTTTGTTTGTTTGTTTGTTTTTATATTATGAGCTCCCCTGCGGGATCGCTTAGAGCAAGAATACTATCTGTAGGTGTGCCTAAGCATGTTGTAGAAGATGTGTTTTTTCTCTCCATTGACTATGGAAGGATACCAAGAAGACAGGATAAAGTAGGAAAATGCTGTGCCTTATTGTGGGAATACTGGGAATAAAGAAGGACATCTGTCAATACAAGCTGAAACAAGTGAGGTGGTGAAACTGAAGGAGAGATGGTTCAGATGGCAGCAATTCAGGCTTTCAGCCTAATGATGAGAATTCACTTGTGTTGTCACAGAAGGGTCCTAATCTGAGTGATGCCTCTTTGTGCTGCTGTGCAAAAATGCAGTAAGAGATAATTCTCTTCCTCGAGAGCATAAAGCTGTGACACTCCGTGGGAGGACTGGGGAAAGGTGTATGTGACAGAACAGAGATAGCTAGAGAAAATTTCGGAGAACTTGAAAAAAAGTGTCAATTTTGAATGGGCTTCTGGAATAGCGACTGGTAAAATGGTCTGAGAAAGCGCAGGAATGACAGATTTTACATCGAAGGGTTGCTGAAGTAGCTTGCTGAAGTAGCTTATTACAAAAAAGGTGTTACACAGAACATGCAAGGATGAGACTTTGACAGTTATGTCACACGTCTGATACGTAGTTTTTACTATTTTGTGCTGAACTTGCAGGCAAAAAAGTCCATGAGAAGTTACATGATAAAGTACATCACCTTTATTTGCATGTCAGTGTTTAGCAGTGTCTGAGGCCTCTTGATAAGCTGCTAGACTTACTCAAACTCCAAATAAACCTAGCAATTTACAGTCACTTTTTGTTGCTGCTAAACTTTGAGCTGTGGTTCAGGTCTGCCCAGAGTATTGTTTTTCACTCAGTAGTGGTTGCACATTCAAACTCTGCAACCAACCTGAAAATGGAAAATTATATAGCTGAGTTAATTGAAAATCTGCTTATGGTGCATGGTGGCGTGAGCAGTAATTGACATAAAGTGCTGCTTAGCACACAGAATCAATTATTTTCGATTGACATAAAACAGGAAATCGTTTAATGTCAGATTGATATTAATGAGCACAGTTGTACTAACGAGTGCAAGACTACCTACAGCATTACATTTCTTTTTCTGGTAAGGAACTTAAGACAAAGTGAGCTGAACCCTTAGGGGCAATGATACCATGTTTTGAAAAATGAATTTAACAGTGAATTAAAGATAAGATTGTTATTGTGGGAATCTTTTCTGAAAATGGGATAGTGCTTATTTGAGCAAGTCATACTATACTGTTAGTCTGAGAATCACGATGTGGCTTTTGACTCATTACTGGAGAGGGAAATTTGGTTAATAGTGAAGGTCGGGATGATTCTGCAGTGGTGCTGAGCATGTCCAAGGAAGATACTAGTATGGTAAAAAGAAGCAGAATCACTGAGGAAGTATTTTCTCCCCTGCTTGCCCCTACTGCTATAAAACTGGTCTGACTCCCTTCTTTCTTGACTAATAACATCTCCCAGAGAACAGCCTGTGTTGTATTGCACAGTTCTCCGCACACCTACAGACTATGCCTAATGGCCATATCTCTGTTTGCAGTACAAGAGGGGTAGAACTTCAGAGGAATGTGAGAGATGTTTCAAACTGTTCCTATCTATCTATCTATCTATCTATCTATCTATCTATCTATCTATCTATCTATCTATATCTATAAAATGTTGACCACCTGTACATCTTCCACATCCAGGATCCAACCTCTTCCTATTCACAGGTCCCTGAAATGGCACCCTGCAGCCTCTGAGAGAGTCCTTTAGAAGCTTTCACCACAGTTTTCCAACAGAACAGAAGCACTAAGACTTGTTTCTCCTCAGTTTAGATATTGGAAGTTAATTCTTTAAAACTAAGTTATCTGGCCTTCTTCTATGGTCAATGTAAAGGGATGGACACCCGCACATGGTGATGAGTCTGGTCCTCCTCAGATACCAATAAGGAATGGGATTAATGTCTCTCTACAGCTGTCTCTTTCCATTGACCGGGGGGTAGAGCCCAGCTGTCTCCTCTTGCCTGTACATTGCTCACTTTTAGATAACTAAGATTAGATAGGTTGTATTCTATACACCCTGTCTGTAGCAGCCCTCAGAGGAGGAAACAGAATAATATACATGCGGGATAAGACAAGATGTCTTTACTTTGCCTTTGTCCTAGTCTTGGAATAATCATTATAGCAATGCAAAATAACCATGAAAGCAACAAAATGTCCCTGAACTACTTACCAAGTAATATAATGATACAGAGAAGAATGGCAATAAGAGCCCCAGTGCTAAGACCAGTAGGGTGAACCAAGGCTTCTGCATTGCAGGACAGCATCTTGCCTCGATGGTCACAAGCACATACTCGAATAGTCACTGTTTCAGTGCTGCTCTGGATAGGGTAATCATTGTCTGATATTACCACTGGCAAGAAGTAGGTACTCGCTTCATGCCGGTTATATCTGGTTTTTCGGGTGAAAATCCCTGCTGTGTTATCTGGAAATATACAAAGCATGCATTAAGTCTTCATCTGAAGATTGAAAGCAAGAAGAGATAATAAGAAAAGTCTTCCCAGAAGTTCACCTCTGTTGTCCTGTAGTGTAAAGTTTGAGCTGCTGGCTGCCTCAGGAGCTAAGGAGAATGAAAACTGATGTCCATTGTAAGAGTCATCTTTATCAACAGCACTTAATGTTTGTATCAGCTGAAACAATAAGAACAGAATTATTTTCAAAGTCAGTGGACTTTATTTATGTAATCTAGGATTGTAAAGTAATCTTACTCATTTTTTTCTTCTGTTTTTAGGCAAATGATGTTGCTAGAGTGAGCTCAAGAAAAGTGATGCTGTTTAGCACTACCATAGTATTGTATTCTATACCATCAGCCAGTAACATAATGAATTTGAAAGTTGGCAGGAAAATCATATTGAATTCAACAGAAGGCTTGAGTTGATGCCACTCCAGATGGGTAGGAAACCTTTGCATGTGATAAGCAATAGAGACGAAAGGTGAGACAGTCCAAGCTGACTGTTTATTTATCTACCCAAACCTCATGTCACAGAATTAGTGTGGCTGAATCTTTCAAATTATCTGCTACTTTGAACTACTTAGCAATAGGACAGGTTGAGTGAGAGTTATCTGGCATAAAGTAGTTGTATCACAGACAGGACTTGTAACAGCTACAGCCCTGAAACAGTTTTTGAAGGAGACAGTGGAGATGCCTGAATAAAGCAGAGAATCATGGAATGAAAATGAGTCAGGGATAACAAGGTGCAGTACAGAAAATAACAGTCTAAAACATACCGTCGTGTTAGCTGCAAGAATACTAAGTGAAATCAGATACTGCGCAGCCACTGTTTAATTTTGCAATTAAGTTTGATGCAATGTGAAGTACACCCTCTTGATGAGGTGATGCAAGAGCAGTAGCAAAACTGATTTAATTTGGAATATTTTCTTAGTACAAGGAGACAACACACCTGTTCTGCTTTTGCATTTTCACAGACGAAGGTTTCGTAAAACATGGCAAACTCTGGAGCGTTGTCATTTACATCCAAAACCTTAATGAACACTGGAACACGGCTGCTTTGTTTTGGGTTGTCTGAAATGATAAAACCAGAATGAACAGAGATTTTATTTAGCCCAGCTGCCAACGCAGTGCAGCAGAGGAAAAGGACAAACTTCTAGGCTCATTGCCTTAATTCTTCTCACTCACAGCGCTTCACTTAGATTCTGTTGATTTCTGGTGAATGCATTATGGACGTATGTAGTATCATTACTCTAATTCTGTGTAAACTATAGAGTTAAGACTGGATAGGACTCCAGGATTTACAAATTCCTCTGAACATTCTAAGTATGATTATGAATGTATTTGTGATATATACATAAATATAATACTGGACCTAAATTAAATCTATATATTAGCCCACTGATACAGTTTGGTAGCAACAAAGTATCTAGAACATACCTCCTTTCTTAGCTCTGAAACAGGACGACTGAAGAGTCATGAAGATGGAATTGAACGGATTTTTTCCTCTCCACTTGTTAAATATAATGTTTTGTCCCCACAAATCTTGTGACACAGTTCCTTAAGCTACCATGATTATCATTATGTTATAGAAATAGTAACTGCAGCTGTGATCACAGATGTTTTCTAATCTGCTATAAATTGATTTGGTTGGTGTTCCAGAGTAAAAACTAAAATGTATCGTCTGAAGACCATAAGCCCTATATAGAACCTGCAGATCCCCATATGTAAACAATTTCTTTCCCTGTAAGGACTGCATTGTGCCAAGAGATTGAATTTCACAAGAATATTCCTGAGTATAAAATACTGATGAAAATATTGTCATCTTTCTAGATAAAAATGAAAACATCTGGAAATGCACCACACGTCTATGAGGGAAAGAGTGTGATTGAAATTAGTTTCATTTAAAATAAATACCTTCCCCCTCTCTTATATGAGGGCTCACACTGAATTTTGCTATATTAATTTCCTACCCATGTTAAAATAGTTTATTAATGCATTTTAACCTATGACTCAATGAAAAAAATGTGCAATAAAACATAGCAGATCTAAGAATCTATGTGCTTCTACAAGCATTAACTACAGTAGCTTGTTGACTTTATTATTATATTTATTCATTATAGTAGCTTGTTGACTTTTAATAAAAGTCCTATTACTGTATTTATCATAGTTTTATAAATTTAAAAATGCCTTCTCCAAAATAGGCACTGTGTATTTGTATTACAGAGCTCAGTCCCTGGGACAATATATTGTGCTTTAATGCTCCACAGTCCTACTTAAGTTAGTATGAGTCCATTAGGCACAAACTACCTTCTAATATGAACCATTGGACTAAATTCATTCAATGAATAAAATAACAGTTTATGTATAATATAGACTAGGCTGAATTCTATGCTAAAATACATGAATAGAAATGGTGATTTTTTTATAATAGGCAGAAATCAAAGGTATTCATTTGAAGTCACAGGACTATTGGCAAGACTATTTCATAAGGGCATACTTTTCTAACAAATACATTCAAATATATTGGCCAATGTATTTTTTCTCCTATCAAGAGTTACAATTGTTTTCTTTCCTGCTTTTTGAACCACGAACTACATATTTTCATTTTATTTCTAGGTGCTTAAGGTTCTCACAATTTAAAATGATACTGGACTAAATTGTAGCTTCATAAAAACTCTATGAACATGAGTCTTTTTTCTGATTTAAAGGAAATGTAAGTTTAAATATGGCTTCAAGTCTTTTTTAATTTTTCTTTTTTGTCATCGTCTTTCAAATTATTTGTGCAGGTTAATTTATGTACGTTAATTTGTTTGCATTATCCTTTAATTACTGCTGGGCTCCATCTCCAAAAAAACCTCCATAAACTCCACAAACTGCTTAAATCTGTTTCTCTCTCTAGGGATATGATTTCTGTTGAGCCAGCAACCAAGCTGTTAAAGTGGGTTTTTTTCAGAATACAGCCTCAAAATCCTGCCAATGTTTGATTTACCCTTAAATGTTAAGCAACGAACATTTAAAAATACTCTGGGAATTCTCTCTGGTAAATCAGCTGTAATTCTGCAGCTGTGACTCAGTAGACATGTGTACTGAGTTTTAATGCCAATTTGCCTTCTGCCTATGGCAGATGTACTGACCTAGTGCTTCACCAACTATTTGTCTGCAGCAGTCGCAGCACGACTGATTCTCTGGGCTGCTGAGCAATTGCAGCTCATACTGGTGAAAAAGAACATTTAGAAGTGGAGCAATCTACACTTATCGACAATTTTAGACCAAGGCAAAACGAATTCTGTATCTTTTTTTTTTTTTAATTGTAAAATGAAATCAAGAACAGTCATCACTGAAAGGTGTTTCTCCTTATGACTTTATAATTTATTTTTTTTTTCCATATCCAAGGAAGCACCCACCCATCTGAACGTGCATCCTGTCTGCAACTTGACTGGTTTTTTTTTTTTTTTGAGATTATTTCACTGAAATATACCTGGAGTTTAATGTGATAATATGCCACTGAGGCTAATCAGTGATTCTATGGAATTTGGTGGAATGGGACTTTAGGTAGCCTTGCTAGAAATTACTGGATTTAGCTAGGAACAATAAGCAGTGGTACTTTCAAGTCTAGTCTCTTGAGACTAAAATTAGTCCTGGATTCCAGAACAGTAGCTGCATTTCAACCAAGGAAATTGCCTTTGGAAGACATCTACCCTCGTTATGCCCAATTTGGTCTAGTAAAGCATACCCTAGGAAGTATCTCACTGCAGCCTGGAAGGATTCAGCCTAAAGAGAAACGGGAATTAAGACAGAAGCCAGTATCAGACACAAGAGGTTTAGTTGAGAGGGTTTGGCCCAGTAGAAGGTCTATGCTTAGGGGAGGAAACAAGGAACCAAATGAGATTTTGTATGGATGCTAAGCTGGTTTTCAGACACTATACAATTTTCTATACTGTAGACTATTTCAGCCCTGCTGGGATCAGTGCAAACGTGCTTCCTAAATGTTACTATTCTTTCCTTTTTAGGTGTTTATTTTTCCCCTCTTCCTCTAGCCAGGGGCTGCCTGTAGTGTACAACTCTTGACCCTAGATCACTCCTTCAAGGATTTAATGGAAACACAAACACCTAACAGTCAGCATTTGGTGTGCTGAAACCCCATACATAGCATTAAAAGGCACAAACTTACAAGAGATGGAGAGAACTGTTAATGCCTTATCATTCCTGTAGGCTCAAGCTCCCTACTCTTTCACATAACCATCTGCTTGCCTCAGTAGCATTGTTTCACATCAGTTTTCAGTTTTAAAAAGACTTACACAATAAAGAAAGCTGGAGTCAAGTACTCTTTAGCTCTTAAGTTACACTCCTCACTGTTCAGCAGGTGATTGAGCCATATACACATACTCACAACAAAAGAAAGTAGAGCTTACATTGTTTCAGAAAAATGAAAAGCCATTCAGCCTCTGAGTTGCAGAAAGACTTTGTGACACTCATAGAACCGGTGTTTATATTAAATTTATCTACCATTCCGCCATAAACATAGGCACTGTGACTCTGCAAAAGCAAATAGAATTGCATTCCCTAATATTTGAGAACTTGATGTGCTTATAGTTAATGTATTAAAATAAAAATGATTTTTTTAAAGGCCATCTACCATACATGTCCTTATCTTAGATCCTTGGCATTTCTACTTCTAAAATCAACATGACTAGTATTACCACAAGATCATTAGTTCAGAACAATCCTAAACTAAGTGACAGACTGATTTGTAACCACAGCTTGTAATTTCAAAAGGATGCACAAGAACTCAAAAGTAGAAATCCTTAAAACTGATTAAGATCTGGGCACCTAGCTCAGCCCAACCACCTTAGCCTTACTTGAAAACATCCAGTCTGGATGAGACTGAATTCAGCAAAGGAATGCAGTTTGGCTTTAAACCATCTTGTTTGCTGCATGCTAGTTTTTGATTTCAACAACCACAGTGAAAAATGGCTATTACTGATTAGAAAACACAGAACTGTCTTCTTTCCTTCCTGCTCAGCTAAGTTACCTCTTCATGAACCGTGTCCCTAGTAAATACAAAACTGCAGACAAGCTGTTGCAGAGTTACTACTTCTTCATTAGTATTGAGTGGAGTATCCATATAACCTGACATCTGTCCAACTGTGCTTTCCATACACACAGCTAGAAGGCTAAATTCATTACATCAGGGAGAGGAGCTGTATTTAGGTTTAACTTACTGATCTCTGCTGCTATTACTGTAATGTTGTGCCACAGCAGTGTTTCCCGGTCAAGAGGTTTTGAAGTGAATATCGAACCATTTCCTGAATTAATGTTGAATACTCTGTCCATATCAGTGTGACGATCTACAGAGTATCTGCAAATACAGAGACACGGGTTAGGGGAATGCTTTCCTTTTAATTTCTATGCTCTTAAACCATTTTCTAAGACTAGACATCAAACATCTAGCAAATGGGGTTTCCTTTTGTTTTCAGCACAGGCTTCAGAGTCTTTATGTATTCGCACAAAGAGCTAATTCTGAGTTACTGGATAATGACACACTGGAGGTTTGATTTAGAAGGTGGAGTATTGTCAGTGAATAAATGAATTGCTGCAGAATTTACATACCTCTGAGAATCATCAAAGCTTTGTTTTTAGTGAGAAATGTGAAGTCTGTGTCCTGAAAGATATGAAGTTTATTTTAAGGCTGAGTTGGCTTTCCCTTTATAAAACTCTCTTTTTATGGTTTGATATCTCAACTGTTCCAAATCATTTCTGATATAAAATTTGACGGCTGAGGTGCATTTCTGCCTCTCACTTCCCAGCATTTAAAAAGGCTGCCCCACCAAACCAAGTCAGCATGGAATAGAGATTCATTATTCCACGGTACATATCACACAAAGGTTTGCTGTAACTCATTAAAACTAACATTCTCAGCCATGCTTGATGCTATCTAGATGTGAAAATGAATGCTAACAAGCTCTGGGGGAGCTCAGAGTCTAAATACAGATTCAAATTTTCAATCTAATCTTTTGCTTTTTCTGCTGAACTGAATGAATCCAAGTTTAAAAGCTGAACTCTCCAGTTCCCAGGAGAGGGTGCTACCACCTTGATCCAAATGCGGTGACTTGGTTTCATCTCTCATGAAGGGAAAATTCTTGCATAAATTATGTTTTGACGGAAATATGTCTCTGATGTTGCCAAAGCAAGAATGCAATTGCATTATGCTGCTCTTGTTTCAAGCCCAAATGTGTGCTCATGTACAATCCAGGACAGAGCCTTAGGAAACCCAGTGTGTACCCCTGGTCTCCTTGCAGGCCATGTCGATGGAGATAAAGGCAGCTACTGCTGTCCCTTGTGTCCAGACAAGGATAACAATAATGGCTGAGCTGGTAAGCAGTCAGATGAAAACTGTGCCAGGAAAATGACTGGCAGAGTTTACTGCCACTACAGAACTGAGGGGAATGCAGAGGCTGAAGAAAAATTTCTGTTCCCTGCTCTGCCCTAGGAGTAGCTGCAAGACACGTCCTTTATTATGCATGGATTTCCTAGTGCCTGTGCAGTGTCTCTTAAATTCTGAGAAAGATCTTGCATGGATGAAGGAGGGAATAGAAGAATCTAGTTGAGACATGATTCTGACAAAAGTTTAAAATTAACTAACTTGCTAATTATCTTGTACCTGAATTTTTTTTTCTTCCTTGCATATAAAAGAATGGGATATAATGTCCACAGCAGATTAGACAGGTCTTACTCCAAAATAAGAATTTAAGTGTAGCCTACCTTCCTAGACAAAACAATAGAAAGTATTAACTATTTGCACTAAACTGTTTTTCTTTTTCCATCTTAAATTTCTATGGAATAAAGCAAATGACATTTAAAGGTACTAGGACTAGCAAGCTAACTTTTTTTTGCTAGGACTTGCTCAGGCACACCTTGCTAGTTTTTCAGGAGTTCAGATTTAGTTTTCATTCCCTGCTGTCACTTTACTGACAATACTGCAATTTTGGCTGCACGAAGTCAGACGTGGTGTCACTAACCTAGTTCCTTTATGCAGCATTATAATGCTACCCTCAGCTTGAAAAGCGTTGCTTTGTCCGAATCTAAATAGCAGATGTGAATTTGTTGACTTGGCTGAAATGTTTGATGAAAACAAGTTTATACAAACTTGTCTGACTAGTTTATATTTTTACAAAGTAAATATTTGATATGGTAAACATTTCATTTTAACTTTCATTCGCTCAGGCTTTGTATGATATTATGTTGGTATTTTGTGAATTCAATTACTTTTCAGATATTCTGCAGCTCATTTCCATATCTTTCAGCTGAAATACTTTGTTATTTCCATTTTGCAGTAAATCTAGATTTTCCATTCTTCTTTGAAACAGGATTTTCCATAGATTAGCTGTTCCAGTCAACTGCACTGGCATGTTTCAGGCTCTTATTCAGCAAGATGTTTAAATAAGCAACTAGCTTTAGGCATGAGTTGTCCACTCATCGGGGCTTTTCTTCTTCAATTTTACTTTCACTCCTGCTTTATATTTTGAATGAACCCGAAATATCTTACTATCTTAGCACTTTTTAATGTCTTAGTGTATTGTGATCACTATCTGCACCTTTTAGAATTTCCCAAATTCAGTATCTGGATAAAAAAAAAAAAAAGGTTCTGGACTTCTTCTAGGATTACCAGAGGTGTAACACCGAATATCTTCTTCTTCAAGATATTAAGAATTTTAAAATGTAAGTATTTGTACAGCCATACGTATATTCAGTCATTTGCACAGTGGACAGTTATACTCATAAAAAAAAACTCAGCAGAGAACAGTTTCTTAATGAAATGTTAATTTTATTTCTTCATATCCCAAAGAAAATACATACAAGGTCAATGCAGTTAAACTATATTCCAATTATACTATTAAATCTGGTCTAGAAGGATGATTTTAATAAGCTAGACTGTCACTTCTGTTTCTCAGTTTGCATAATCCAGTCTCTTTTGATCAAGACTCTTAATTATGTTGAATTGGTGGTGATTCTGACTTATGGATCATAACCTAGTAAGAATTAAGAAGATAACATCAAACTCATTCTTACATTTATTAAATGAAATTACTCGTGTGTATTTGTCAGATTTCAGGATTTCATCCCTTTCAAACTTTGAGGAATTGACAAGCTAGGAAGTTAAAAGGTATCTATGTAGATTAGAGTCTCTCGTTTTATATAATATGAAGAAGGTAAGGGTGAAAGAGAGAATATAACACATGCAAATATGTTGTCAGTAAAATACACAAACAAAATTAAGCCTTACATTTGTTTGCAGATCATTTTCATCTGGGATACTTTAGTAAATCAAATCACAGCAGGAAGACAGTTCCAGTGACTGATGAACTTCATTATGCCTCTGAGGAGTTACTATAGCAAAAAAACTCAACTAGCAATTTAAAAAGATCTGATGTACAATACAGCAGTGCCAGTTTCAGGATTGGTTTTTTTTTTTTCAGTATGCAGCAGTTTATATTATTTCTGTGTAGATCAAACACAAGCAGAGTGCAAAACTTTTTTTTATAACACATCTGGACAGTGGAGTGTTACTCAGGACTGTGTTAATGCCACGACATACAGAAGCATATTCAAATATAGCTGGTGTATTTTTGTATTTTCTCAACATATTTTTTTTCACATTTTCACAGCAAAACTTAATTTATAAGAGATAGACTGATGAAACTTAGCTCTACCAATATAGAGGTCAGGAATGATTATGCAGTCTTACAACCAGGGCAGATATCTGCTTCATATTTTGCTGTTGCTTCATTGTCTTCTGATGTTCAGCAGCTTGCTGTCTAATGTAACCACAAGTCAGGAAGATTTGTGGGTCAGGAAGGGATGTGTGTCTGAATTTTTCATAATGCATTTTCATAATGATATTGTGAAGGTTTCCTTTAATGGAAGATCAAAGGGGCTTTCATCTAACAGAGTTAGGGCTCAGTTTGTTTTGGAAGAGAAATCTTCACTTGAGTAGAGGAGAAAATGGAAGGTTTTCATTGTAATATCAAGTATCTAAAGATTTTATTTTTAACCTTCAAGAAAAATTGACAAGCAAGTGACAAGTCATATATATACAGTCTAATTGCATCTTCCCTGAAGCTCAGAGTGAAAATCGGATTTAGCATCTCTATTGCATGATAGAAAAAAAAATTACCTTGTCAAAAAGATGCAGACTCAACCCATGCCCCTAAATTCTAGCAGATACCCAAGATATTAGCACCATAAAATTACATTTATTGCAGGTTAACACCTCTCAGGCTACTGCTCTCTGCTGATTTCCTTCTCCTCTGATTTTCACGTTTCTTCTTGCTGTGTTTATTTCTACTACTCTAACCTCTTTCTCATTTTTATTTTACTTTTCCTTGTATTTTGCTGTTGCATATTATTAAAGTAAAAAGAAAACAAGCTTTCTGCTGCACTGCATCAGTTTTGACACTTCTGCTAAATTTTGCTCAATAACTATCTGATACTTTAATATGCAAAGTACCTATACTGTATTAAAGAACTGCCCTTTGAAAGTTAGGTAAGTTTTAGCACACACATTCAATTAATAGCAAAGAGCCGGTAGGCAGTACTCAACAATGAACAGCATAATCCCTATCCACTGTAAATCACTTATAATTAGGAGCTGGCGCTGGTGTGAAATGCAAATGGTTGTAGTTATCACCACAGGGAAGCACTCCCCTTACTCTCCAGTGCCATTAGATATAAAAAAGTAGGTTCCTATGAAGTCTGAAAGGGGCCTAGGTGTCACCCCAAACAATTTTTCATCTTCATGCTAGCATGCCCATGAAAACATGCTATAGAACCTGTTTATTCTGTCCCCGGGCTTCACCAAAGTCCGCAAAACATTATGCTACTCCGTAAGTGACTGTGCTCTGCTGGCCCAGAATACCATATAACAGTTGCATGTCATAATATAAATGAAAGAAAGCCTTAATTAAACTTAGAAGGCTTAGTCTTGTTCAAGAATTTGTGTAGGGCATGCCATGCGAACTGAAGATAATGAGAGTTTCTGCAGAAACATTTTAGATTTAGCTTCTTCATCTAGAAAATTAAGATTATAATATGTACCCCTCTCACAAGATAAACTAAGAGCTTAAAACTTACTCATGCCTCACAAATATAGTAAGATATCTTGATGAAAGATAGTTGTTTGCAGAAGTGGACTGGATTTTTATTAAACCTGCATTGTTCTATTTTGATCTAAAGACTACTATCGCATTTCCAAGGTGCCTAGCCAGAGACATGCTGAAAATTGACCTGAATTTAATATTGTTGTACTTCTCATTTCCTCCTCTCACTGCCTTGTCAGTAGCAATGAACTTTAAATAAAGCACACAACTATTTAAAAGTCCTTCTATACTCTATCCAATATGACTTAAGTACTCCAGCATATATTGAAACAATGTACCACTTAATTTACGAAAAATGAAGGCTTAGGTTTAGCTACTCCAGCCTTAACATTTCCTCCACTACCTTTAAGACTAGTTTATTGATTCATGGTAAGTGTAATTTACAAAGTTCATGAGAATGACTCTTTATCTTATTAGCCTTACACTGATAGAGGTGAGATCAGAGCCTGTGTGTGCACATGAACTGATTTTGAGGCATTTCTACTTGTAGTTTAGAGGAGATAACTCTGACCTCTGTTCAGCAGGTCTGGACAGATGGAAGAAGAAAAGGCTGCTGAATCACCCCCCTGTCACGTAGCCAAGAGGATGCACTTCACTGCACTGGAAAATGTTAAAGGTGGAAGAACAACACTAACATCTTCTTAGTGCTCTTTTTGCAGTAAACTCTTTCATGGTAGAAATAACAACAGACATTAGTTACTGAAGAGATTAGGATGTAATTCAAGATGCAAAGGCCATGCAAACACAATCACACATAACGACATATGCTCAAGCGTGAGAGATTATTTACCATCTACAATACTCCATATTCAAGCATGCCCTACAATTCACATTGTGAGAAGTGATTTTTTTTGTGGCGCTGACATGATAGGAGCAAAATTAACGCCGTAAAAAATTTACGGACAAGCTGAAATAGTATATGCTTACTTGACAGGGTTCCTGGGAGCATCTGGATCCTGAGCAGTTACTGTTCCTATTACACTGTTTATTGGAACATCTTCTTTCACTTCCATTATGTATGCTGGTCTGCTGAACACAGGGGGTTCATCTACATCCTCCACCTGAATTCTGACTGTAGCTGAGTCCTTGAATGGCCCCAAGTACAGGAATCGAGGGTCTACGTGAGTATTTGCAGCTTCCACTTTGAGAATATATAAGTTTTTATTTTCGAAATCCAATGCCTGGCAAGAAAAAAAAAAAAAGGTGTGAGAAGTCTGTGGGTATTGCTGTGGCTTGCAGCCAGATGAGCCAAATGAATGGTGGGAAGTCATGGAGAGGCTTGAGCTAGATAACAAGAGCCTGAACTGGAATTAAAATGCTAACAGGAATGAGAACGAAAGGGCTCTATGCCACTGATGATATAATAAGAAAAAAAATTCAAGGAATTCTATGCCTGGAACTCCTAAACACCAATTAGTCTTCTCAAATAACGTTAACTCTTTATGCCTGTTATTCTGTCATTTTTGGCATTTTGAGGATTTCTTTTCTATCCCTTGCCTAATAAGCAGCACACACTAAAGGAGGGAAGTTTTTCTAGGTATTGCTTGTTTAGATATTGGCATTCCATCACTGAAATAAAACACTGTGACATCTAGTGTCTGGATATCCTGGACCACCCATCAAGTCAAACACGATTTCATGATTGGCTATGACTATATCACACTGTTAAATGTATGAAGAAGCACTATTTAGCAACTCTTTGCCACTGTACTTGGAGAAATGTGGAGAGGGAGTAGTCACCCCATTTTTCCATTGTATTGTAGAGGATTCACAGCTTCTGTCAGCAACAGACAGAAATGCAAATGGAGTTAGACTGATATCATAATCAGTCCCTGGAAGGCATCTCCTAAAAAACAAGTAATGACAGGTGTCGTACTGATATCAACAAGCAAGTGCATCTTTGGAAAATCTATGCAATGTCTATCTAGTGATGACTGAACCTGAACTGATGAAGGATGATATCTGTAACCTTATCAAGTTTGCCTGATAGCCCACTGTAAACAATATTTCTCAAACCTTTTCTGACAGCCAATGTGCAATGTAGTAGATGATGTCCACTATGATCTAGCAAGGCGCTGTGATTTTTTTTTCTAAAGCAAAAACATGGTGATAGATTTATTAATTACATTTTTACAAAATGTGAGTCAGAAGAAACTTGTCTGTGTACTTTAATATATTATAGCTATAAAATTCAACATCCTCTGATAATGCAAAATAGGCAATACGATACTGATTATTTCTGTGTTCTTAGCACCTTCTGCTAAGTGAGCAAATCCTGTAAGCATCACAGAGAGAAAATCACAGCTTGATGGTGGTGCTTCCTTGAGTTTTTCTGTGGATAAGTTCAGGCTGTATAATTTTTTCTCAGTCCCACCCCACTCCTTAGCTTATTTACTCTCTCAGCTCCTTCAAAGTATGTGCACTGGGGCTTAGTAATGGAAGTATAAGAGGAAGGATACCAATTGCTCATATAAAAGAAACTTTACATGTGTTGATATTTACCTTTTTCACAGTTATAATTCCTTCCTGTGTGTCCTTGTCTGTGGTAATTCCAAACATGTCATATCCGTCCCCCTCAGTGATGCTGTATTCAATCTCTGCATTTTCATCCATGTCAGCATCATTGGCTTTTATCCTGCCAACTGGTGAGTCTAGTGGCATAGACTCGGGAGCTCTGAATTGATATGTGCCTACAGCAGACAGAGAAGGAAATTTTGTTAGTCAGTCTCATGGTACTCTGGACACCATCTCTCAGCCCACTGTCCATACTGGGCATGCACAGGTGAGTTAGCGAGTCATTGTGTCTTCAAGCCTTCCTGGGGCAAAAGCCTTCACCTTCTGCCATACTTTCAGGTGGATAAAAGTATCTTATTTCTCTATCTGTTTTCTAATATGGAGGATGGGCATTTTGCTTTGCTAGAAACATGTAATTTTAGCAACATATGTCCCTTTCAAGACATTCTCATGGTCTCTGCGGGCCATATCAGAACTGTATATGAAAAACGTCTCGAGGCCAAAGGACAAATATTAAGAACTGTGAGAGGCCAATGCAGCTTAGTAACAGTAAAGCTGAATCCAGCTCAAATGCCTATTAAAAATATGCTACATTGAATTTTTGTCTGCAAAAAAGGCTACTTGTGGAATGTTGGCATTATGAAGCTGTATCTTTGGTTTTTATATTGAAGACATTTATGTCCAGAGATGTATAATTAACTCATTGGGGTCAGAGTGTTATATTTCTTCTTAAGTTGCTCTAATTTAAATGGAAACTCTTTGCCCACAGCTAAGAACAGAGTTTGAACTTAAATGACAAGTTGCTTCCAATAACTTTTCCAGTGACTTAACTGCCAAAGCTTGCTGATTTGTCTGATAGGATCTGCAATTATTTTCTCTAACAGCTGCTCTTGACTTTGACACACACTGACACTGTGATACACACACATCATACAGAGACCAGTGGTTAGAAAACACAAAACAAGAAGAAAAAGAGAGAGAGTAAGAAGGAAGGAAGTAAAGAGAGGGAAAGAGAAGTGGATGAAAGCTGAATCACTTTGAATTACTTATAGCCATGAATGGCCACTAACAGAAATTACTTTCTAGGAGAGCTTGCTCAACTGATTCCCATAAATATGACACAGATAAGTACCAAATTATTTGAGACAGGGGAAGTAAAATAGGCAGGAATACCTAGTGTATTTATGTACATGCTTTTGTTTCTGTATGCAAAGAATATAAGAAAATCCATTGAAGCAAATGCTTTCTGGTTGTAAATATTTATTTTTTATGTAATTGCTTTTGGGATAATTTTGCAAAATTAAATAAATATGTTTCAAAACTTAAATACATTAGTTTACAACAGAAATCTTACAATGTGATCAACCACAAGGTCTGAAAGAAATAACAGTGAACAAGAAATACGGATTGTGTTGATCACAGCTCTTTAATAGGTAGAAAAAACAGAAGTTGTTTCTGCACAATAATTCACCTCTCAAACTACCTACTGCAGCGAAGCAAAAATATTAAATATTTGTTTCCCAGTCGTTGCAATTGAGCTTAGCATGATGTTATTGCTTACTTATGTGCTCTTTTTTGACTTCCTAAAGAAAGTTTGATACTCAGTAAGTCCACAATAGAAGAAACAATATCTAAGGTGAAGAAAAACCAAAACAAGAACAATTTTTCTCCATGTTAATGTTACAACACAGAATGTAAATATCCCATACTCTGGGGGAAGCGAGGTGGATTGTCATTTACGTCAGTCAACGTGATGTTCACAGTGGTGGTTCCCGATAATCCGCCCATCTGGCCTCCCATGTCTTTAGCCTGGATGACCACTTGGTACTGCTCTCTATTTTCACGGTCCATGTTTAGCAAAGCAGTTTTAATAATGCCTGAAAACATGAAAATTAAAGAGTGGGGAGGTCACATGTAAGGTACTGACTTTGATGGAAATTCTTATTAAAAAACCTCTACAGTCTAAAAAACAAAACAATCCCTTCGTAATAAGTAAACTTTGCCCAGTACAAATATTTACTGTTATGAGATGGTTCATTAAATTACAGACTTGTCATGTCACATCTTAGGCTACTGCCTATGTGACAGACACAATATTAGCGGCATCCCCAGAAAGATGTTCTACTTATTTGCAAGCTATTTATTTTACATAACTATTTACCCTCTTTCAGTTCCATGCTAAAGTCTCTCACTGAACTGGAAAAAGGCTCTTTTTTCATTATAATGTGCTCCATCATTTCTCTCCAGTTCTGTCAATATTTTTATTTTGACAGATATGGTAAAAAAAAGAAGAAAATCTAATTTTAATAAGATACCATTAAAGAGTGCAACAACATTAAATGGAAGAAGAGAAACTAATTAAGAAAATTATGAGCATCCAAACATGTCTGAGTATATATATTTTTATTTATACATTGATTAGAATGATTTGCCAGTCACTTCCTTCTTCAAAGGCCAATTCCTATTGAAATTCAATCATTCAGATTTACCATGAAGCAAAATGTTTGCATTCTCAGTGGATCTCTTAAGGTAAGAACTGACTCCTTTGTAGGCAAAAGGAGTGAAATTCAAGTATTGAAATCCATGACAAAATTCACAGTGACTTTGACAGAGACTTATTTCACTCTAGGAGTTCTGAAATTGATTTCCATGGCAGGAAGATCAAGACTGCAGTTTACTTGGCTTCCCATGCCCCATACAAACCTCTTACTAAAAGATTATTACTGGTGAACTCTCAGCTACCTTATCCTTCTTATAACTCTAGAAGAGGATATAGTGTAGTGTCCAAGTCAGAATCTGAGTGCATCAGTCAAAAATCCTGGCTTGTATTATCTAATACCTTATGCTTGAAGGGAAGCTCCTTTTCATCTTGGCTCTCACTTCTTTCAGAATTGTGTACACTTTTTCATCTCAGGTTTCAGTCTGAGACATGTAATCTCTCCCTCCTTTTCCCTGACTGAGTCTCTACAATTTAAGATAGGCACCAATGCTAAAATCTGATTAATTGTCTGTGATAATCTATTTCTTTCCTGTAAGGATGCTAAGGAGAATCAATTTCTCTAGCTTCCAGCAACCTAACAGAGTGGATATTCCCAGTGAAGGAGTTTCTTGAGATCTCTTGTTTCTCTCCAGAAAATTTTGTTATAAAGCTATGTAGTCAGAGAGTAAATGGTAGAGCAGATCCAGTCAGCTAGAATGCATGTGTTTTACATGCACAGATTCTAAAGCTGTTATTCAGACCATTAAATATTCCAGTCACTGTCTGTAATTTAAACATCCTCCAAAAACAGAACTCAGAACTTTGGGATTCTATTTGTGATCTTCTAGTTTAGCGCAACAGTCAATTTTACCTCTTCTATCATTATTCTTAATTAAGATTTCTTTCATAAAATTAGCATTAAAGTGATATGTTGCAGATGTACAGAAATTATAATTACTTTAAACAAGTTTTGAAGAAGCAGAAGGAGAAAAAAACCTCACCTGAACAAATCCTCAGTCTTAATTTAGCCATTATGAAGATCTATGAGGAATAAGCACTTTTTTCCACACCCACCTGTTCCTCGTTTTCATCTAAAAGCCAACTTATTTGGTTTAATTTAAACATCCACAGCAGTCTCTGTACCCACTGCTTGTTAAAAATGATTGAAAACTGGTTCACATCCAATACTAATTGTATTTATTAGACTTTGCTGGTAAGATTAAAATAACGGAGGTGTCATGTTTACAGATGTATCGCTCTATTAAGTTTGTCAGATTTTGCACTGAGTAAGATGTAATCTCTTCGAAGTTTTTTTTCTATTATATCCTAGCTTGGCTTAGCATGTCATTTTGAATTACAGACATTGTCATAGTGTGACAGATAAGGTCCCCTGACCTGTTTCAGATTCGACAGAGAAATATGGTTGTCCCTGGAGAATGCTGTAGACAACTTTAGCACTGTTCCCATATGTAGGATCATCAGCATCAGTTGCGGTGACCTGCACAACAAAGGTACCTGTAAAGAAAAATTAAAGAAAATAAAAATGAATAGGTTTTTTTTCATGGCCAAGACAGTTACGACATAGAAAAAAAAATTATTCAGGTTCAGGTCAGACTTGTGGCAAGAAGTTAGAGACATTCTTATTTTTTAGAAGTTTCTGTGTTCATAAAGGACAGACCCAAAATGATAGCTCTCAAACCCAAAATGATAGTTGTCTTATTCTCAACTCATTAAAAAACAGTTATTGATTGGATATACAGATCCTTCATGCTGTTTCTTGTGAAGGAAGCAGAAACGCACCTTTGTCCAAATATTGAAAGCATTCCGAATTTGAATTTAGGTCAAGAATATACTTTTGCAAATTTACTCACACTTGTAAGGTATTTGATATAGGAATGTAAATCTCTTTTTTCATGTGTCTTCGAGAGAACGAAATGGTGTTGAATCCTAGGCAAAGTGTTAAGAAACATAAAAATTTAGCTTAGATTTTGGCATTTAAACCCATTTGTGAATAAAGTATTCACTTCCCACATCAAAATGTGAATACTGTGTTCTCACTTCATCAGATGAGGTTTCATCCATTTGACAAGTCCCATGAATGAGAGGAGAGAGTATGCCCCAAAGTCTTTATTTTCATATTGCTTGAGCTTTATTTTAATCTCATTCTTGATCATGATTAATTAATGCTTCTCTCCCTGGACATTATTTCAGATTAGAAATGTGCTTCTTGCAATTCAACCATCCATTGCTCCCTGACAAAGAAATCAAACTGCTCTCCCTAAGAAGTAGAGACAAAGAATCAAAATCTGTCAACTTCTCAGGAAAAGATCCCATCTTAAAACCATATTTTATTTTCTTGATTGATTCTTACAGCTCAATACATTTTAAACCAATAGAAAGATTTCAGTGGGCTTCGAAGGACTTTGGAGCTCTTTTCTTTTGCACGAGAAGAGCAACAAAGGGCAGAGGAAATTAATGGCATATCTCAGAATCAGAGATGAGTTGACTTGGGTTACAGTTTTTAATCCTGAAATGTGTACAACCCCTTCTGTACATGCTCTTTTCCATTTTGTTTACTTCCCTGAACTAAAGAAGGATTGCTGAACAGATCTAGGAGTGGTATTGACACAGGTGACCCCACATTACCATATTATTACACTTTTACTAAATCATGTTAACAAAGCTTATTAAACTCTAAGAGTGTCATGTAACACAGCTCTGAAGCTGAAGTAGATGGTATTAACTTGCATTTTTTGTGGTACAACAGAGGGAGCATGTTTCACTCAGCTGACACCTCTGATTCCAGCAAACTGGTGTCACTATCTTCCTGGAGTTAGATTTTTTTTTTTAAACGTCTGAGGTGCTTTTACTCCAGACTCAAACAGCAGATGTCTGTATTCAGTGCCTGTAAACTCTGGGCCCTTCATTAACTCCACAGAAAGAACCCAGACCAGACACCGAAATCAGTTATTAGTTAGCACCTACCAACATCTGACATTTCAGGAATGCTGGCATTGTAAACGTCCTTTGTAAACATTGGCTCATTGTCATTGATATCATGGATCTTAATGATGAACTCAGATTCTGGTTCCACTGGTCTTCCAGTCTTTCTGTTTACAGCCTGGGCACGGAGTATATATACAGGCTTTTCTTCCCTGTCTAGTCTCTTTGTAGCCTGGATGTCACCAGTGTTTTCGTTGATAATGAAGAGGTCTCCTGCTCCATCTCCAGAAAGGATGTATTTAAGTGATCCATCTCCTTTATCCTGGTCTGAATGCAGCTGGTGGTGAAATGGGAACAAATAAAAAGAAAGGAAAATAAATAATTGGGACACAATTCAAGATACTTTAACTGATATCATGATATATGCTTTACTATTATTAATACTCAGCCAAAAGTCTGTACACTGCTTTTGGGAAAAGAGTTGATATCACAGCAGAAGCAGTGAACAGATGGAGTTGTGTCTTGATGTCAGAACTGAAATGGTCTGCAACATTATAAGAAATTGCCCGAGGAGAACCATGAACTGAAGCTGCAGACCACCTTCCCAATCTAAATATACATCAATTAATTCTAAATGCTAGTGGCCTAGGTGAAATCCTAGAAGTATGTAGAGCAATGAGATCCTACAGTGGAAAACCAGTGGATTCAGGAATTGCAGTAAGCAAAAAATTAGAAAGTGTCCAGTCAAGCCACTTCTTGAGTTTAAATTTTGGATGCACAATAAAATGACATAATACATACACAAATAGCAGATAAATACATGTATTCACAGATCTGGCAGACTAAGGGCAGAGGCAGGCAGGCATACTAGACCATTACAGCACTGGAAGGGAAGAGATCAGTAACTCTACTCAAAGGGACATGGACCCAACTGAAACTTGGTGGGGAAAAGGGAAAGAGGAGAATAATGGTAATTAGCATACAAAGCATGAGCTGCCCAAACCATCATATTTTTTTCACAGAAGATTTCCACATCTCTTGAAATGCTGTTTACTATACACAAAAGGTGTAACTGACTAAATCATACCCTTATGGGTGTTCCTTTGATAAAGGTTTATTTATTCTCCCGGTGTTAAAATCAAGGCTAGTTACATTAGAGAAAAAAAAAATTTAAAAAATGAAATATTAAAATGGCTTTTGAAATCAGAGCATAAGCGATAAAATTAATGGGAAAAAAATCTGTTAGGTAGCAAGATTCCTGGAAGTTGTTTCTCTCACAGTGAAGATATTTTTATGAGTCAGAAGAGCTGGACCTTCTCAACCAGCTCTGTGCTTCTCTTTTCCTGAATAAAAGTTAGAAAAAAATCCCTAGTTGACTGTGTGGCAAAGTACTTAGCATTGCTGGATAGCATGCTTTGTAGAACAGAAAGATTTGTAGATTGAAAGAATCTTGGCATAGACTTCACCAGTGCCTGGCTATGCCCCTACCATGCTGGAACGGCACCCTCCAGCATTAGCTTATGGTCAACGTTTTGGGTTTCCTCCAACGTTCTGCCCAGATCAGAAACCTACTGCCAACCCACTTGAGGGCACTGTGCTCCACTCTGCCTATGCCTATGATCCCTAGAGAAAGCATGCTTCATGCAACAGGTTTGCCTCTAAGGGCGAAACACTCTGTTACCACACATACCCAAACTGTCCAATAATACAAAATATCATAACTATAGCGTGGTTAATCATTAGCAGACATGCTGAAGCACTCTTCGTAATTTCCTTCAGGGAGAAAATGGGTATTCTGTGTAATTTTGCACGGAGCCCTTTTTCTTGATAATAAGAATACCAGTAAGTAGCTTCTACGTAGCATTTTTCCTAAGCAGATTTAACAACCCTTCACAAAATCAGTCAATACCATTTGCTCTGCTTTTAGGACAACAAAGCACAGTTTCCCAGAAGGCTAGTCTTGAAATTTGGAATAGAGTTTAGGTCTCCTGAGTCCTATTCAGCTGGCCAATTCCCTCGGCCATGAGGCCTAGAGGAACCTAGACACAACCTCAGACTCTAAAAAACATCTATCAGCTTGTTAAGAAGTTAGACTAGAAGTCTACTGCAGGAAGTAATTTCAACAGATTATTTGATGAGAAGTTTTCTCAAAGGCAACCTGCAAGAGAAAGGCATGAAAACAACTGTCTTTAAAATTGTGTATTTTTATGATTGTTTCACATCAAAAATTCAACTTTTGTTTGCCTTGAAAGCCTCTTTAACTTTGTATCATACTGGGACAAAAACAGCCCTCAGTAACAGACTATCATTAATTCATATGAATTATGGAATAGTGTTGTTTTGAGACTTGGTACAGGCTGAACTCCTAAGCTCATTTTTATCATCATTTTAATTAAACTTAATTTCAATGAACAAAGCAGCAAAAAAAAGGTCAGCATAGAAAAGGTGTTGGAACCACTGGAATAGTCCTCCATAACATTCTTTACCTAGCCCAGGCCACCTAAAGAGCTAAAAATGGAAACCTGTAGGATTTTTTCACATCGATTGTTTATGAAATTTCCACTCCTCCTCCACAATTAATTCACCTCTGTAAGACCCATTATGACTCAGGACATCACGACATATCTCAGTGTCATCAATATTGAGAGTGAGGATCTGGTCTTCATCTAAGGTTCAATCTCTAGACCTCCAGTTAAACCACTAACTTTTGAAAATAAACATTCCCCCTGACAAGATCCTTTCCAACTTTGATATCTTTAGTTTTACAGCCTTCCTAAGACATGACAGAACAAACTAAGTGATCAGTTAGGCAGGTTGTATGCGGATTATTTACTGTGAGAGTGAGACTTGGGTGAGGTCATGTCCTACATACCCATGTATAATACACAGAGCTAAGGCTGGCTGAATGCCTGTTCTTCAAACCAACGACAAACTTACAGTGTGTCACCATGTGCAGCCTTGTGAATCTGGTTCACAAAGGGTCCAAAAAAGTGTGACTCAAATCTGTTTGATTTCAGCAAAGGATAGGAGATAATAAGATAGTTGTCACCCTAAGGGGATAGACTTCTATCACACCACGATCAGCATCATCTGCTTAACTGCTGGGCCAAAATAGTTTGGATTTTGTTCCCTTTTATTTAGAAAAAAGTTTTTATATATTAGAAAAAAGCCAAACAGATCTCTAGAAAAGTTTCTTATACATAAATATGCAACATTCACTTATGAGGAAAACATTAAAAAAAAAAGATTTATTATTTTATATTACATTATCTGTCCTTGACTGTTTGCTTGGTAGAAAAGTTTTATCCAGGCAAAGTTTTATCCAATCTTCTGTTTTATTTTTCCTTAAAAATTTATTTTGGAAGCAATGTTTTGCTTGTGTGACCTATATGAAGAGGGAAATTGCTACTGTAATCAGGTTAAAAAGAAATAAATTGGGAATAAAACTAAAGGACAAAAAGAATGGTGCAAGTTGAGCCAAAAGGAAGGCCTGGAGGCAAGATGTGCTTTAAAATACAGGGGTTTTGTATATAGAAACACCATTGTGAGGTTATGAGGATGAAATGAATGGTAATAACAACACCATTTTCCTTTAAGTTGAAGTTATTTTTCACTAGCCAGACAACTCATTGCAAAGAAAGTGATGAGGTACGTGCATAAATTATACTGCAGACGCTTTTAGCAGGGCTGATGCTAGCCAATACACGAAATTATAGCTTCACTCTGTGTACTAACCTGTGTTGCAGAAGAGGGTCCATTATCCTATGCATAAAGTTAGTCAAATAAAAGGATCATGGCAGATAGTCATGGGATAGAATAAAATGTTTGGGACACAGAGCTCATGTCATCTGGGCTGTATCATATTACCAGTCCTCAAGACAAAGATTTTAGGACTCCACATTAAGACAGATTTTATACTTCCATAGGAACTCAGTGTTACTCAATACCATTCATTTCAATCAGTGGCTGAACTGAGCAATACCCCAAAGGTAAGCAAAATTGTGAAGAACTAAGTCTATGAAATAAAAAGTAAATGCATCACCAATCGCACTGTATTAATATTATAGTAAACTGATTCATTCAGAATCTAATCTGAACACTCTTGTGACATTGTCCATCAATCACTGGCTAAGGCTGAGGATGAATTAAAGATTTTACTATGCCCTAGGCATACTTTTAATCAGTTTAATACCACTGTTAAGTGAACCATCTGGTTTGCTTTTAATGACTTACAGTCAGATAAAAACTCTCTAGCCTTTTTCTTTCTTCTGCCTCTCCTAAATGTTCCAGCCCAAGCCATTCAAATACATTTGCCTGGATGTGGGGAAGGTTTCATTCCTCCTGAAGGAAGAGGCATTTAAAGAGCACACACGGCTGTAGCATTAGCTGCTTCTACTGGACATTCTGCTTGTTGTCATATACTTAATTACTTTAAAATGAGACCTGGTTGTTTTTTGGTTTGGTTTTTTTTTTCAAATTAACCACAATCTGGAGTAGCCTTGTTTCCTGTAGAATCTCTGGAGCACCCTCCAAAATCTCCAAGGGTGGTGGCAATGGCGTATCTTCAGCACGACAACAAGGAAAAGGCAAGTGATATCCATGCTCAAAGTATTTGTATATAAACATTTTTTTAAAATTTATTTCTGGAGTGAATATATCAACAGCATGTGTGTTCATCACGACTAGATAGCATTGCTTTATTTTAAAGTGACATTCCAGAAAAATTTTACTGGGGTTTTAAAAATTAAGTTGGACCCATTCTACACACTCAGGAATTACTTCAGCAGAGAATTCATATAGGAAGAATTTAAGGGGATGTTTCATGTGCTTTTGTAATAAGACTATAAACTGACATGGCGTGGGGGATAGCGTCTGCCCAGGTGGGTGATGGCAGGGCCTGTCCCATGGCCTGCCCACTGCCCCAGACAGGAGCAGGACACCCCCGGGGTGACTGGGGCAGCCCCAGTCCTGGGTATCAGGTGCCTCCTGGGAATGGTAATGGCTGGGCAGGGCTGTTGGGAGCTGGAGACCCACCCTGTTGTTGTGTTTCTTTCTGGGGCAGGGGCTGCTGACCCCATGGGGCTGACATGGGGTCCTGGGCTGTGGGCAGATGGACAGGGACAGTCAGGGCTAGGTGGTGCCCTCAGGGCCCTTTCCTAACTATGGTAAATTCAACTTGAGATGAAACTGGATGAAACAGCAGTGCAAATTGTATGATAAAAGTGAGATCCCATATGTTTTAATAGGTTAAGACTAACCATAAACTTTTTTTTTGTGTTTAAATGAAATACACTAGAGAGAAGTGGCTTTCTAGCATGGATATTTGTAACAAGATTG